TAATTTTTTCACTAAAAAAAAAATGTTGATTGAATGATTTAAAAGTTTAACCAACAGAAAACTCAATCTTTAAAGCCATCCAAGCAATATGCTTTTTCTAGTGCAAAGACAATCTACAGGAATATTGAATACAAGTCTAAAGAGGTTAAAATGCCATTTTCTAGGTCACTGGTTAGGCTACATTTGGACTACTGTGTTGGAAAGGGTTCAGAAGAGGGTTACTAAGACGATACCTAAGATGGAAAGTTTGTCATATGATGACAGAATAAGATGTCTGAATTTGTTTTCTCTTGACGTAAGAAGAGTTACAGTGGATCTGATTCAGGTGTTTAAAATTATTAAGGGAATTGATTGATAGTGGTGATGCCTCATCTTTTTCTATTTGTATTTAATGGTTATAATGATAAGACTAAAGGACACAAATATAAATTTTGACAAGATAGGAGTCATATTTATCTAAGACAGTTTTATTTTACTAATAGAGTGGTTGGCCGTTGGAACAGTTTGCCTTCAATTGTGGTAGATGCAGTAATTTAAAGGAGTTTAAGGGAAAGCTTGATAAATATTAGAATGATAAGGCTGGCTTTGAAATTTTTAGTGTTCAGTTTGATTTAGTGGATAGGTCGGTCTACATGGACCAAAAGGTTCCTTGATGTCATTTAATGTCAACATGTTGTACATTGCAATGAAAATAACAAACTCAATGGAAATGCTGAATGTTTGAACAATTAATTCCTGGACAGCTTTAACAATCTGTAGTTAGTAAAATGAATATGAACACTTTACTTCCCAATCATTAAACTTAATATTGTAAAACAAATAATATATCAAACAGTTTTAATGATTTTTATGTTATTTCTTTTCAGGAGAAAAATACAATGGCTGAACGTTTTCCCACACAGGAACAGTAAGTTTTTACTGCATGTACTATTTTTTCTGTGTAGTAACTATAATATATTTGAAAAATAGCTCATTGCTGTGTGCAAACAATATTTTTAAACAATAGTTCATTACTGGGTGCAAACTATGATATCTTTGAATAATAGATCATTATTGTGTTAACTATATTTTTGAAGGTGCTTAATACTATGTGCAAACTATACCTTTAAACAGCAACTATTTGCTATGTCCAAGCTATGATACCTTTAAACAGCAGCTCATAACTATATGCTAGCTATCATACCTTTAAACAGTAGCTTATTACTATACTAGCGTATAGTCCGTCAAAAATGACGGCAAGTACTACCCCCCTCCCCCAACTGTATACTACATACACTAATCTCACATTTCATAGCTAACTGAAATAAATAAATTTTGCGAACTCAACCTTGACCAACAAAGAGGCAAGAAAAGTGCAGTCGAGGCAGTCAAACGTCGGTAAATTCCTTTGTGAGCCAATCCAAATTAAGATCATTCATGAAATGAATTCGTGTCATTTTCGTAAAATAATTATTGATAAAAATCAGTTAGATTAACAACTTCTAATATATAGAAAAGCCAGTGCATTTTCGTAACACCACGTTCCAACAATGGCAAAAAAGTATATACTAATATTGTTGTTAGTCTATATACTGAAAGTATAAAATGAAATGTATAGACAACAAAACTGGAAACATATTTGTAAATTTCTTAATTTAGAGTCTCTGTTGATTAAAGAGGCTTGTTTTTTATTGTAACATCCCATAATAGTTTAAAAACTACCCTATAACATTCCGTAATTAGTAAAACACTTTATAACATCCCATAATAGTTTAAAAATCATTCTATAATCTCCCATAATAGTGCCCCCCAGTAGTACAGCGGTATGTCTGCGGACTTACAACGCTAGAATCCGGGTTTCGATACCCGTGGTGGGCAGAGCACAGATAGCCCTTGTGTAGCTTTGTGCATAATTAAAAAAACACAAACAAACAAACCCATAATAGTATAAAACACACTATAACATTCCATAATAGTTTTGTTGCTAAGCGACTATGTATATTGTTGAGTGTTATCAAAAGAGAAAGGTGAAAGCGTTCTCGACAGAGTGACAAAAAGAATAAGGCGTATGCATAGAAAAAATAGTGGTAACAGTCAGTTAGATTAACAAGTTCTGATATTTAGAAAATAACTTAATTCAGAAACGGTTTGACTTTAAAATTGAATCGATATTTTTTACTTTCGTGATAAATTCTATGCACTTGACTCTAGGCAATGTGATCCCACACTATGTCTTTACTTTAGGCTAATTATATCAACACTTACTACACTTATAAGGTTTCATGGCCCCCTTGCATCCCCGTCACTAAAATCGTAATGGGCAGAGCGGTATGTCTGTGGACTTACAATGCTAGAATCCGGGTTTCAATACCCGTGGTGGGCAGAGCACAGATATCACATTGTGTAGCTTCGTGCTTAATTACAAACAAACTATCTGGATAAATACATTTTGTCTTTATGACTCCTCCTATTTCGAGAAATCAAACGTGACATGACGCGACACACAGTTGCTTTTATATAGGTTAGATGCTAACTATGATACTTTGAACTCATTACTGTGTTCTAGCTATATTTTTGAATAGCAGCTCATTAAGATCCTAGGTTTCGATAGCAATACTTGAAGGACTGATGTGTATATTAACCTTACACATGCCGTACTTAGATTCGTGCGATGGTCCATTGTAAAGACAATTTCCTTTAATATTTAAAAAAACAAAAACATCTCTAACACAAATATAAACTTACTCAATAAGTTGGCTACGTTTTCACGACGAAACAAGAGGTATGAAAATTTGTTTGTTTGTAGTTAAGCACAAAGATACACAATGGTCTATCTGTGCTCTGCCCACCACGGGTATCGAAAACAGCTTTCTAGCGTTGTAAGTCCGCAAAGATATTAGATATCACATTATTTGACACGTGACTCTCACATAAGATATCTTGACATAGGATTTGAAAGTAACCTGTACCAGTACTGCACTGCTGAATACGCGGAAATAACGTTACAAAGTCTATACGAAATGACTTGTGGGAATGAAGTACCAAGTTTGTTGGAAATTGAAAACAGAAAACTATTTCTGTTTTATGGCAAAACGAGATGGCGACGTTTGAAAAAAGCTATTCGATAAGTAAACATTGTACACAGTACAACCCATAAGGCAATGAAGAAGTAGTTGTAAACATTGTACACAGTACAACCCATAAGGCAATGAAGAAGTAGTTGTAAACATTGTATATAGTATAACCCATAAGGCAATGAAGAAGTAGTTGTAAACATTGTACATAGTATAACCTCAAAGGCAATGAAGAAGTAGTTGTAAACATTGTATATAGTATAACCTATAAGACAATGAAGAAGTATTTGTAAACATTGTACATAATATAACCCATAAGGCAATGAAGAAGTAGTTGTAAACATTGTACATAGTATAACCCATAAGGCAATGTAGAAGTAGTTGTAAACATTGTACATAGTATAACCCATAAGGTAATGAAGAAGTAGTTGTAAACATTGTACATAGTATAACCCATAAGGTAATGAAAAAGTAGTTGTAAACATTGTACATAGTATAACCCATAAGGCAATGAAGAAGTAGTTGTAAACATTGTACATAGTATAACCCATAAGGCAATGAAGAAGTAGTTGTAAGCATTGTACATAGTATAACCCATAAGGTAATGAAGAAGTAGTTGTAAACATTGTACACAGTACAACCCATAAGGCAATGAAGAAGTAGTTGTAAACATTGTACATAGTATAACCCATAAGGCAATGAAGAAGTAGTTGTAAACATTGTACATAGTATAACCCATAAGGCAATGAAGAAGTAGTTGTAAACATTGTACATAGTATAACCCATAAGGCAATGAAGAAGTAGTTGTAAACATTGTACATAGTATAACCCATAAGGTAATGAAGAAGTAGTTGTAAACATTGTACATAGTATAACCCATAAGGCAATGAAGAAGTAGTTGTAAACATTGTACATAGTATAACCCATAAGGCAATGAAGAAGTAGTTGTAAACATTGTATATAGTATAAGCTATAAGACAATGAAGAAGTAGTTGTAAACATTGTACATAGTATAACCCATAAAGTAATGAAAAAGTAGTTGTAAACATTGTACATAGTATAACCCATAAGGCAATGAAGGAGTAGTTGTAAACATTGTACATAGTATAACCCATAAAGTAATGAAGAAGTAGTTGTAAACATTGTACATAGTATAACCCATAAGGTAATGAAGAAGTAGTTGTAAACACTGTACATAGTATAACCCATAAGGCAATGAAGAAGTAGTTGTAAACATTGTACATAGTATAACCTATAAGACAATGAAGAAGTAGTTGTAAACATTGTACATAGTATAACCCATAAGGCAATGAAGAAGTAGTTGTAAACATTGTACATAGTATAACCCATAAGGCAATGAAGAAGTAGTTGTAAACATTGTACATAGTATAACCCATAAGGCAATGTAGAAGTAGTTGTAAACATTGTACATAGTATAACCCATAAGGCAATGTAGAAGTAGTTGTAAACATTGTACATAGTATAACCCATAAGGCAATGTAGAAGTAGTTGTAAACATTGTCTCTTAGTGTTATAATACAACAAACTTTGGTAGTTTTGCGCTCACTAATAATATATGACGTGATTATGTGTTGTTTACTTCTAACTAACAACTGATTATGTGTTGTTTACTGCTAACTAACAACATAAAAATGTCATTCTTTCTACAACCTCCACGGGTGGAGGATGGGTGTTAAATAACTAGGTGGGGATTTTATTTTGTTTTAGTATAACTTGTTTTGTTTTGTTTTTTCTGCTGTAATATTAATATAACCTGATTAATCTGAACTTTTATTACCATAATGGGTACTGGAATGCCAACTTCAGGAGGTGTTTTCTTACCCCTAATGTCAGGACCTAATTCTTTTTTTCATTTATTATCCTCTGTGAACATTTACTGTCCCGCAGACAGTGAAAGGTGATGTAGATGTGTGACGTTATAGGCTTGAACACCCATATCTTGCTCCCTTATTTTGTTTTATTTTATATAACCTTTTCTTAATCATACATTTTATTTTTTATTTTTACATGTGAGGCTTTGCGAACAGATTGTTGGTCTCACTTCCGCAGTCACCTCCAAAGGCTAGGACATATCCTATACCCTACATTATAGCCTGTGTTCTTGTGCTTTCATTTATTTTGGTTATGTGGCGTTATATTCTTACTGAGGCTTGTTTTGAATTACAAATATAATCTATTTCATTACTGTTTTAACGTAGTACTTACTTTTGGTGTATATATACATATTAAGATTAATAAGCCAGCTTGTACTAAGAAAATTCCGTCGTTGACCATATGTCTACAGATGCATATATTCTTTATCCAAGTACCTGTAGAACACCTGCTTCATAATTAAGGTAATGAATGTATAACATAATTATTTGTCGTGGATATTAAGTGATGTATTTGATAAAATAATCGGATTTACGTAAGTATTATATCATCATTCCACGTGTAAAATATGCATATCTTGTCACTTACAGGTGCTAACTTTAACTAAAAATTAGAAGCTTTTAGAGAAAAAAAAGCTGGAAACCTAGATTTTCAGATTAAGCATATTCAAATTCGCAAGGTAGAATAAGTTACCCATTTTTGCCTAAAAATTCCTTTGCCTTCTTTTTTAGCCCTGATTTCTGTACTAAGTTATTTGTCGTGCTTAGCTTTAGTTCTAATAAATCACATAAATACATTTAGTGACGTTAATGTTAATGAAAAATGACTGAACGTTCTGGGTGTTTCTGAAATAATATAAATTAGATTTTGAAAGAGCAGAAGGGTATTCTAAAGAAATGTCGAAACAGAGAAAGTAATAATCCATAAATAATCCCTGCACAGATAGTTACAAGATTATACT